GGAGAAGGACTTGTCGCTTTAACGAGGAGGGTCATGTCCCTCTAGAGATTGAGAGGGTCATGTGTGTCACAGGATGGGCCACGAGCATGAATGAGAGGTCCATGGCCACGAATGAAGGCCATGCCACCTTATGACCAAATTTGAATGACCTAAAAATATTCTAAGTCTTGGAAGAACATGCCGCTTCACGAGAGGGGCCATGTGCACGATTGAGAGGTCCATGCCGCCTCATGAGAGGGGCCATGGACACAAATAAAAAGGGTGTGGTGATGGAGCATTATATCACTAGTGAATATCTCTCAAGAGGCAAGAAGACCACGACCCCCTTTGTGAGACACCACATGCTTATCAAAAGACTAGCATGACACGAGATTCAGAACAAGACTAGGCGAGACAAGCTACACTCCAAGACCCACGACGGTTACAAGAGAGGCCCCTAGGCGGTTGAAGGAGTAACCACCACTCCGAGGAAGCAGGGAGTGGATCTTTTTGGGAGTTATCCAAGAGGCAGTTTCTACCGAAGAAGGGGGAGCGGTTCTTTGTAGCAGTTATCAAACAAGCGGTTTTCTATGGCGGTTACCTACTTGTGGCTATAAATAAGAGGAGGGGTGAACAGAGACAAAGGTTCCCAAAACCAAACAACTGACACACATGTCAAGTTTATCCTTTACCTTTTCTCTATCATGTAGGATGTAGCCATAGATGTAGTTCGTAGTTTGGAGCTCTCGTCGAACCTCCATAGGAGTAGAAGTAATTTAATTTAGATCTCGTTCCCAGAAACCATTAATCAAATACCCTCATTCGAACTTTGTTTGAAGAGGTGTGAGCCGTGTCTTAGTAGGTGCATTAATCTCATTTCCCAGAAACCATTAGTCAAAGGTGCATTAATCTCATTTCAACGCAAGTTTTCTCACCGGAAAACAAATTTGGCACACCTGGTGGAACCTTGTGTTTGATTTTATGGCTCCAAGACAGAGACAACAAGAAGGTGATCTCTTACCTGGGCTTGTGAAGAAGCACGTGGCTAAGTTTGAATTTGGCCAAGAGATGAAGTATGTTGCCGGAAACAATGGCGTGGTGGAGACTTCGTCACCGGTGGCACCAAGTGTTGATATAACCACCAACAACAAGTTACTTCACAAAATATTGGAGGAAGACCGCAAGATGATGGTGGAGAATCGTCAAGCCTTGGAGGAGAACCGCAAGATGATGGCGGAGAACTGTCAAGCCATGGAGGAGAACCGCATGTTGAGGGTGGAGAACGTCCGTGCCATGGAGGAACATCGTTATTCCTTGGAGGGATGCCTAGTCGGCCTTCATCGTGGTGCCCAACAAGTAAACCTCCGCCTAGCATCTCTCACTTCTCATCTAGATAATCGTTTAAGTCAACTTATAGAGTTGGTTAACAAAAATAATGATGATTTCAATGATTTGAAACACCTTTTGATAAAGCAAGTGATTCAATCAAGAGATTTGCCACTAGATGGTACAAACTCTTCTGCTAATGACCAGAATGGCCAACTATGGCAGAAGAGCTTGTCACCTCCAGTGGCAACCAAACCACTCCCTCAATGTGATAGTTGTGGTTAGAGGTCCACCTCCACTCCGAACACCAATCATAGGGTCTTGCATGTACAAGGTGATGTTCAACCGCTTGTTCTCGAGACAAGATCAGATGAGGCACTTGTCAATGAACGAGATGGTGAAGATCCATTCAATGTGGAACAAGTACCACCACATGCTTGCCCACCCCCGAAGCCACCCCTATTGAGTAGACAAAGAAGCCATTCTGATGGACTCAAAACACCAAGAGCTCAGCAAGGGGGGCATGAAAGTCTAACTTCCCACAAGGTGAAGCCTAAAAGTCCATCCAGGGTGCATGTGATTTCTAAGAGACCACATCAATCACAAGCAACACATGCTTGTGCTAAGCATGCTAATTTGGCTAAGTTTGGAAATGAGGGCATGCATCCAACCACTTGTAGTGGAAATTGGGGCATATCTAACAAGTCACGACGCAAGAAAGCCATAAAAGTTATTGCAGATTTGAAAATATGGCTAATTATGGAAAACGCATGTCCAAAAAGTCATATGAAGTCCAAGCCACACATGTTTGTGATAAGCATGCTAGTTTGGCTAAGTCTGGACATGAGGGCATGTCAGTGTCACCCATCATGAAGTATGAAGTCGGGGGCATGTCTTGGTAGTCACAACAGCTCCAAGCCACCCATGACCTTTATAAGTGTAAAACTATGGTTAAGTCTGGACAAGAGGATATGCAACCAATCGCAAACAGTGGATATGAGGTCAAGTCCAACAAGAAAAGATGTGGGAATGCCAAAAGAGTTCTCGTAGTGTTGAAAATTTAGCTAAGTATGGGCAAGGAGGCATGTCACCCACATGAATAATGGAGTAGGGGGCATGTCCAAGAATCTAAAAGAATTCCAACCTGCACATGCTTGTGATAAGTACGCAAATTTGGCTAAGTGTGGACAGGGGGGCAAGTCCATGTCCATGAGTAGTAAGTACATGCCATAGCTCGGAATGGGAAAAGAGGGGTTTGGGTTTTGGAGAAAGGGATTGGTTATTGTGGAAAGGTTCTCTGACAGAGTTAATTAAGGCGGTTTTGGGGATGGGAAGGCGGGATTTTCCCCGTTGATTTTGTTTTGGGAAATTGTTTGGGGCGGGTACTCCTACAGCGCCCAAAATCCCCGGTTTATGCAAAATAAAATTCAAAGAAACTTGCCCCAAGAAGAAATGCAGCAAAAGAGAAGCCAAACGCACATTGTTCTTGCCTCGGTAGGAAGGTATGATTTTTGCCCACCGATTAAGTATTAATTTATTTTTTTGTTTGCTTTTTATTTGGGAAAGGATTCCCTCTTCTTGCCTTTATGTTAACGAGCTAATTACGGTAATTTTTTTTTATCTATTCTCAATTGATCAACGCTTAAAGCTAATTGGCAGGATTTTATATGGTAATTTTTTATTGCTCTAAACAAATTGGGTATTACGGATAAGAGAAAAATGTGTACAGTTCTTGAGAAGGAATTTATGGTAATTTTTAATTGGTCTTCAAAGTTACTTTTGTTTCAAATTCTTCAAATATAAATGAATTGAATGATTATCAACAAAAAGCTAAACAATATAATTGATGTACGTGTTTTTAATAAAGAATTTTACTCTATACACGGATGGACACAATTTTTTTTAATTAATAGCTAGTAAGCTATTCTAAGTAAAATACGGCACAAGAAGTATTAAATAGATAAAAATAAGTACAGGTTTTATATATGGACATTAACAGTGTTATATGGGTTTTATACGTGTTTAGAACGGATACATAAGTTTTTGGACGAATATAATACGTACAGGTATTTACTAACTAACTATGCCTTTATGTAGCGCGTTAAAGGTTTTTGGGTTTAGAGGAAGTTCTTAATGTTCAGGGTTTTACACTTTAGAGTTTACGGTTCAGTGTTTTAGGGTTATAAAGTTTGTTGTTTTAGAGTTCAAGTTTGGTGATAATATAATGGAAAGTTTATAGGTAGCGCGCGTTAAAATTCAGGGTTTATGGCCCTCGAGCCCCCATCCGGGGAAGCATCGCCCCCCCCCCCCCTCGGGAACCCCCTGAGCGGGGCGTTGCTCCTGGTCCCCACTCGCTGACTTAGGGTAAAGTTTTTTATAGGGTCAAGGTAATGTTTTTTACATGTTTCAAGATTTAGGGTTTATGATTTAGTTTTTACAGGATAGGGTTCAGTTTTTTTCTAGGTTTAAGGATTCGGGGTTTAAGGTACACAAGTGGAGAAAGGGAATGTTCAGGATTCGGGGTTCAGGATTCAGGTTTTAGGGTTTAGAGTTTAGTTTAAAAAAAAGGTAATGTCTATCGCCGCCGAACACAAGTGGAGAAACCACCAATTGCATCGCCGTCGGATGCAAACCCAGAATCACCACCCATCGTTGTCGGTTGCAAACCCAGAACCACCAATTCTATCGTCGTTGAACACAAGTGGAGAAAGGGAATGTTTTGGGCTTCCTTCGTTTATTGCAGAGGAAGAAAGGGAATGAATTTGCAGAGAAGGCAGAGAGCTCTTTGTTGCTTATAGATTTTTGTTAGGAATAAATACTCAACGAAACATGTATTTAACATAAAATGTTACCAGTCTAATTGGTTAGGACTTTGTTTTGCGAACAAGAGATCCATGGTTCGAGAACATTCATGACCTTTTGTTTAAGGTTATTTTCAATTTCACCTCTTAAAACTAAGAATTTGTTCATATGTAAAGAAATTTTTCCGACAAGCGAAATTTGTAAATAATGTTCTATATGTGACAACGTTGTTTGCATATTATTGACGACATATGAATTCTTCACGGAAAGTATTTTCCTCACGAAGTTTTTTCAACGAAATAATCATTTGTGATGGCCATTTTGTCGAGTCACTTTTCTAACAAACTTTTATCAAGACCAAATACGTTCCCTCATAAAAACGTTTGTCTTTCTGAGAGATAGGGAAATTCCTAACAAATAATACTATTTCCAACAACATTTTCTGATGAAAAATTTGTGTCCTCAAAAAATCATATTCATGAATTTTTTCCTCCTTTTCTGCGTCAAATAAACATATTATTTCTGACGCCTATTTCAATTTGGTCATAAATAATTTGTATTTGTGACAAAAGTTGAAATGTCCTTAGTAAAAGTTAGATGACGTTCCTCGTATTTGTTATTTTCACTTTTAGTGACAAATGTTTTGGGCTTTATTGACGAGGATTGATGTTTGTCACAAATATTGTACGTTTTTATGAGGACGATAAATTTTTGTCACAAAAAGTTTATTTCCAACCGAAAAAAGTGTCGTCAGAAGGATTCCGTCACTTCTATATGTCTTTTTTGTAGTGATTTATTGACATTGTCTTGTAGTGTTTTGTAGATGTCGCCTATGTACAACCAAAAACATGCAATATCTTAATGAGAAAAAAATTTCAAACTAACTATAATAATAATAATAATAATAATAATTTGTAAATTACCATCATTGGGTAATCCAACATAAATATACACTCAAAGCTAGGTTGAAATCAGGGGAGGTTATGGCTTCTCATAAAATTTAAAGTATAGGTAAAATTACCTATAAAATTCGTAACAAATTTAGAAAATAGAGTAATTTATAAGATTTTAGTACTCTCCCATTATCATTGCTCAAATCAACCCTTCATTTAAATTTTTCTATTTTCATTCTCTTATTATTATATTGTTACTGCTCCGACCAGCACAACTTCCCCGGACATCAACTTTCACCGTCGTCCTCCGCCGCAGCAGGAGGGGGCGGCATGTAGTCAGCCATCGCCCAGGACCCATCACCCAGCTGTCTCATCGCCTTGTTCTTCTCCGTCCACCAATTCAGCGGCACCTTGAACTCATCCTTGAGATGATCCTCCCCTTTGTTCACCAGCGCCAGATCCCGCCTCACCACCAGCTCAAACGGCCGGACTCCATTGTACCCGTCCAGTCCGTGCATGTAGAGCTCCAAGCTGTGGTGGTTCGGACCCGGCTTTATGTAAGGCGACTTAATATAAATGACCAGCTCCTTCCCGACGTGGACGAACCCGAAGAATTCCGGCGGGTAGGTGGTGACCGGGTCAGGGAAGTTCCGGATCCGGAGGAGGCGGAGGTGGTGGGAAAGGCCCGTGAACATGTCGTGGAAGCCTTGGTCGCCAGTGAGAGGACAGCCGTAGACGAACGCGGTGACCATGCAGCCGCCAGAAGTGGTTGGACCGGTGTGGGTCGGTTTGTGGTAGTGGTTGGTGACTATGTCGGCGGCGTTGAGGGTGGCCAAGGCGGCGCCTAAGCTGTGTCCGACCACGGTGATGCTGGTTTCCTCGTCGCGGTATTTGTCCACTAGCCTTCTCACCTCTGCTAGCACCTGTATGTATGCATGTGTAAAAGGGATAGATGATCATGATGAAATTGATTCAGCTAATATTGATATACTAGGTTACTAAATTTGTTTGAAAATTTTAGTGGTTTATAGTTCAGCAATGAACTAAATTGTTTATGTGATATATAATAAATATGAATTTATAATCACTAACCTAAAATGATTTCAAACCCGTTTATAGTATTCATTATCAAAAGGTATCACAAATCATTCAAACTGTTTTTCAGAAAAATCATAATTTAAAAAAAAATCAAGTTAGTAATTAGGATGACAATCCGTAGTGCAACACATAAAACCGACAGAGGAGATGGGAACCGGAATAAAGGAAGTAGAAATAAAATCAATGATTATGATGGAATGATTTTAGTTTACCTTAAACTATTATTTTATTATTTACAAAAATAATAGTCAACCAATGAACCAATCAAACCAGGTGCGGTTCATCTGTTTCATATCAAACGGTTAAAAACCATTTGACCCATTCCTAACCATCAAGCACATGAACCCGAATTGTTATTTTTACCATGTAATCCATTTGGGGTTGTTATATGTTATAACTATGAAAAATTCTTAGCTCCTCCAACCTTGATTTGGCGTATGAGCTCGATCCAATCAGCCGCATGTCAGTTTCCTATTATTGAGTTAATTCTTATATTTTAATTCTTCATTTATATATGGGTGGTTGGAACTTCTCGACTTAGCTCAGAATTTTCCATATAACAATACTAATTGTAGGCACCTGTTGGCGAGCGCTGGTCTTGTTGTAGGTGGAATCAGGGCTGTTATGGGTGTAAACGCTGAAGAATCCCTGATGCACCATGGGATCATGAGCCGTACTCCCAAAAACCTCGGAAGCCGGAACCATTGCAGAGCTCGCGTCCTGGAACCACTCCGCCCTTGTCTTCGTCCCCCTCCAGCACACCAAGATATCCCGCCTCCCCAACCTCCATGTACCTATCAGAGTATCACAAAGTTGGGTAATTTTCGTATTAATATTAGCGATATTACAGGAGTTAGTCTCTACTCCATATCCATCCTATATGATTTCAGTAATAATACACAAAAAAAAAAAAAAAAAGAAAGTCTAATTGTTATACTACCTTTCTCCGTGCTTACGGCCACGTACCCGATCCACGCGGACCGGCCGTCGGCGACGGCCCAGTCGCCCACCGTGTAGGCCGTGGAGGCGTAGAAGAAGTGGGTGATCTCGTATTCGTAAGGGTTCCCGTTCCGGAGGAAGACGCTGGCGAAGAAGTCCTCGTCGGGCGGGTAGCGGCTGAAGCCGTACGCCGTGGAAAGCTTGTCGTCGTTGAAGGCGTCGTAGAGGGCCTGGGCCCGCTCCGCGTAGTGGATGAGGTACCGGCGGAGGTCGGCGTCGAGCGGCGGCTCCAGCAGGCCGGCCCACTCGTCCTCCCCGCTCAGCTTCTTCCAGTTGGCCGCGATGCTCCCCATAACGATCGATTAGTTAAATCTTGGATGTGATGTTATTTTTTAAGAGATGGAACTTTGCAGTTGGTGCGAGCAAGTGTTACGTTAGGGGGATTAATTTGCACAGTTTATATAGTGTGAGAGAAACTAGTTGCATTTTACAATAAAATCTAACATATTGTTTTCATATAAATTACTTCTATAGGTTTTTACGGTGAACCCTTTTACTATGCTATAAAGTATTGTTGTTTTAATGTACAACTTGAAGTTGTACCATAACATTAAATGTATAAGTTCAAGTTGTACCATAAAGACATTTTTACTCTTATGTTATGGTACAACTTTACAAGTTGAAGTTGTACCATCACATAAAGGTACAAGTTCAAGTTGTACCATAAAGAATATGTACAAAACAGTGTAGGTATAATCTAAAACTGTACCATAACATTGAATGTACAATTTCAAGTTGTACCATAAAGGTAAAAACCTATAGCACCAATACTATATAATATTGTAAAATTCCTCCTTTTACGGTATACATTTTGTAATGAAATATTTTTGTGTTTGAAATGCAAAGGAAATGCATTTTCAATTGTAGATTGGTAAAAGAGAAAAAAAAAACAAAGGACAAAAAAAAAAGTATTAAGAATAATTATGAGTAATGTCTTTTGAATATTTCACCTCATCAAGAAGTTAGGAAAAAAATGTGTTTTTCATTGAAAATATGAGAAAAAGATGCTGACAACCGACGGAAGTAACATCTTGTTGTTTTCGGAAACAGGTGGAAGCAATCACAATCTGTTTGCCGAGTTGAAAACAAACATAAAACATAATGAAAAGTTAACATGTTTTTTTGTTTATTGCTAGATTTCTGGACCGGAAACGAAGAAAAGAAATAGAAATGAAATTCATGAGGAGTACTCAGGATGGTTTTATACATACGTGGTTTTGAACAATGCAATACTTAATTAAAATCAGTGTTATCAAAGAGGATCGGAGCTAGAATGATTACTGGGAGCTAGGATGAAGGTAATGTTATATTTAGGGTTAGGTAAGTCTTTACAAAAGAGGTGTAGATACAAGTATTACTATATATATACACATTGTTGGATCATAAAAGACAAAGACGTAGTAAAGACACTGTTTCCCATTCTGTTTTCGACCTTAGTTTTGTTCCTTGATTGCTTTCCCTATGCTTTGCCAGACTTTCATGGATGTAGAACTAGGGCTGATCATGACAAGTGCCTATAACCACTGTAACAAATTAAAGACGATGGATGTGGAAACCGAGTAATCGTTATATTTCAGCAAATATAGCCAGAGAAGATGCTTCAAAGAAAACGTAGACTCTACGTACGTGTCTTTCGTTTTTGGTTCAGCTTCGCTTTCAGATGTTGACCCTTCTCATCATCATGTGCTATATATTCTTCTGATTCGGTCTGCTAGATATGCAGTAGATCAATTCGAAGGTGAGTTAGTAGCAATTTCAGTTCTCCTCCTCCTCCTCTTCCCATATGTTAACGTGCTATATGCATGTGGAGAGCTTGAGCCTCCTTGTATAGGCCTCAAGGCTTCCAAAAAAGTGGACGCCTTTGAGAGGTGCCTTAGGGTGGACGCCTTAGAGAGGTGTCTAAGGGTAGGTTTGGACCCAAGGTAGAATGACCTTGACAGTGTGCTTGGGCCCATTGGTGACGTGGACTTTGTCGTATTAGGCAGGTTAATACTGGTCCCAATAAAATTAATAGAGTTTGTGATAAATAAAAAAGTATTGGGGACCAGTTGATTTATGATATGCTTTCAGACAATGAGTTGTTTTTTGTTTGAGGGGGACTGTAAGAAAGTAGTTAAGTATCATAATTGGACCTCTTCCAACAACTCGAGTTATTGGAACTAGTTGGTTTATGACATGCTTTGAAGACCACGATTAATATTGGACATCGTGGGGACTTGAACACCTTACCTCTCGATCAACAACTTGATTCATTAGGCCAACTGGTTTATGACATGGTATTTGAGCTGGTAAGATTAAGTGATCTTGTGTTCGAATCTCCACAACCCACAATATTTAACAGTTGATCGATTTGTTTGGACCAGCTAGTTTATGACATGCTTTAAAGACAACGATAATATTGGTGGTCTTGAGGACTTGTACACATGACCTCTCCCAACAACTCAATTTATTGAGACCATCTGGTTTATGACATGATACCAGAGCTGGTATGATTAAGTGGTCTTGTGTTCGAATCTCCACGACCCCTCGATACTAATAGTTGATCTAATCCCAAGGTATGATGGAACGATAAGAACTTAAAGCCCATGAGTTGGCTTCCGCTTCAAGGGGGCGTAGAGTAGTATAAGATCAATAATCAACCTTCTCTCAACAACTCGAGTAATTGAGACTAGTTAGTTTGTGACATAATATTAGAGCTAGCCTATTTTTAAGGTCACGTATTAAGTCCTTATAAACAGTTCTGTAGAACTTGTTCTTTTAAGAAGTTAACTAGTTTTTTGGCCCGCGCTCCACATCGGTAAGAAATTAATTATATTTAAAATTATATCAATTTATTTAATAATTAGAAATATCAAATATTTCTAAATTTTCTGGTAAAATACCATTATAAACTTTATGTTTGAATCATTTCGAAAGAATTATATCATCAGTTTTAGTAGTGATGCATAAGAACTAACTATCTATTAATAAGCTTTACGTAATGTTTTTAATCATTCGAAATATCTATCTGTCAATAAGTTTCATGTAATGCATTAGTAAGTATCACTCCATAAGCTTTACAAAATGCATTTTAATGTACGTAACTATTATAAAACAACGTTATGTAAATTTTTTGTAATAGGTTATCTAATAAAAAAATAATTTACGAAAGTACTACATTTAGAAGTTATTTATTGAAAATATATAAAAAACATATAAACGTTATGTAAATTTTTACTTAATGCATTAGTAATGTAAAAGGTTGTCAAACCGGTTTATGCCGGTGTGCCGATTTTGCTAGTGTAAAGGTCTGATCGTGGTACAACCAGTATTCATGCCGGTGTGCCGGTTTTGATAAAATACATAAGAAAAAAATCCTCAATTCCAAATAAATTAGTCATGAAAAAGCAATTAGAAAAATTATTTAAAAAAAAATAATTTATAGCTAAGAATTGATAACTAATACTAAACAATTAGATGCTTAAAAAAATTATATAAAATGAATTTTATTAATGTTTATAATGTTTTGTGTAAAATTTAGTATTCGATATATAATATATAAGGTTAATATAGACAACAAAATTGCTTGTAACCTATTGGTGTATAAGTTAAACTAAAATGAACATGAGGTACTTGGTTTAAATCCTATGGATGATGTTTATTTTTGGATATAATGTGTATAACATTGAATTCCGATTTGTGGTCTAACCGGCCAGTATTTCCGGATTTTACAGGATCTGACCGGCATTGATCGGATTTGACCACAGTTAAATACCAGCCCCTTTCTAGCTGGTTTGCTAACAAGTACCGGTTGAACCGGCCGACATGAAACCTGTTTGACAACCATGGTAATGTACATAACTATTATAGAGCAACTTAGTTGATACATAAGTTTTACGTGATACATTTATAATGTACACTAGTATTATTACCGGCCGGTTGGCCGGTTTTTAAGTTTGGTGTCCTATTTTGAGGTTGGTGTCGTTGTTTGTGTTAGATTGTATTTTTTGGTTGTTTGTTGTGTTGTTGGAATTTTTCTTTATTGAGATCGGGAATGTGGTTGCCACATCCTTCAAATGACAACCGATGGAATATGGTTCTATCCATGTTGATCATTTAATTGGGGTAAATACCATCGGTATGACTAATATGATACGACTTACAATGGGAGATGTTAAATGGGTGATGTTGATTACTCGTTTGTCTATAAAATGGACATGTCATTTATTTATCATGGTATATATTTTGGGTGATGGTGAAGTACGTACATGGGAGAAAGTGGTTAAACTGTGTGAATGCATGATGCATGTCTTATTTATATATTCTAGATTGTTATTCACGGAAAACACAGGAGAAATTACAGTATCCCATACATAATTTATTTGTGCACAATATTGTTATTATTTAGGTATTGTAGAATGCATCTACCAAGATCACAAAATATATGTGATTTCTTACTTAATTGGCACCTCATCAATTCCCCTCATTGTCATAGACACAAGTGACTTTCCTTTTCTTGGGCAAGGGAGTTGCTTCTTTGGGATGGTCATTGTCCAAGTTGGTTGGAGTTGAGATTTCATCTTCAATGTTCTCCAACTGGTGGTTATTTAAATGACTGGATTCTGCGGTGGCGTTGCTACCTGCCTAAATTGGTGGTTCAACATGGTTTGTTTAATTTCCAGGAACAATGATTTATTTTTAGAGATAGGGAATAATTACTAAGATTATATGTTGTGCGAATTGGTTAAGTAGATGTGCTTACATTGAATGGTTCATTGCTGATTCTGACCACGGTGTATTCACTCTTCGAATATGCGTAATTGTAGTTGGTCAACTTTACGTTGAAGGTGAGATGCATATCAATCACCTGCTGTAGAATTGCAGGTACTTCATTCTTGTCTTTTACACCATCATTGTATAGCTCATTGGCTGATACTCCAAAGAAGCATCGACCTTCTCCCTCCAAGTTGAGAAAAAAAATTTCCAGTAGGGTCTCCAACTATGAGCTGTAGGCGATATCTTTTTCAAGCATGGTGGTAAAAAAAAATTATGTTATGTGAAGGATTTTGCCGCTCATATAGGTAAATGACAACACGTTTACGACTACATTATGGTATGCAGTCCTGCTTCGACGCCCTAATTTGCCGTTGCAGTTTGGGTTGTCTTACACTCGAAGCAATAGTATTCCTCGACATCAGGTTCCACCTTAATTGGGCATGTAACACATCTCATGTAGTACCACCCGAGCTTGATTTCGAGCACCTTGCAGTGGACAGAGAAGACTTTGTTCTGTAGTTGTATACACCCGGTAGTTGTTAGCTATTTGCAGTTCACTATATGATGCATCTCGTATGGAAATATGTTATTTACCATGTGTTGGTT